GCGGGGGACTTGGCCTGTCTGGTCTGAGACTGGGGACTTGGCAGACATTTCCAGAAAGGAGATGGAGCTGGGCTCCCCGGTGGAGGCGGCAGGCAGAGGGACTGGGCTCCGGGGCCGCGCGGGGCCACTCCTGGTGGACGTGGGCATGCTGGGCCCAGGGCTGGAGCCGAGCCCCGCACCTCCTCGCCCGTCCGTCCGTGCGTGAGTGACCCCGTCTCCCCTGGTGCGCTCCTGTAGGCTTCTCCTGCTGTGGAGCACAGGAAGCTGCTCCCAGCCTCCACCAATAACTGCCCCTCTCTGCTGGGAGTCTCCAGATTCCACGCAGATGCGGCTGCGTGTGAAACCCTTGGCCGGCCTCCCAGAAACCAGGCACACACACGAGGGAGAGGACCCTCCCGAGAGGCCAGGGAGGAGCCTCATGTCCCCAGCCTTGGTCCAGACCCTCCACCTCTCAGACCTCAGCCCTTCCCCCGCTTCAGGGGGGCGCCACTGAGAGAGAATCCCTGGGGGACTCTGCCTCCAGGCTTCTAGGTCCCCACAGGCAGCTTGGACGGGCCCCAAGTAGAAGGAAACGCTGCGTTCAGTGGGAAGTTCTGCACCCCCAGGGAGGGGACCCGAGGCCTCTGCATGGCTCAGGGCGGTCACTTGCCCAGTCACGCGGCTGGTACTTGGCACAGCTAAGGTTTAGACTGAGGTCCGTCAGGTGCTGAGGCTGTGGATTGATTGCTAGATGAGAGAGACAGACAGACAGACATTCCTCGTTTATCCCCAAACCCTAAAGCACTGTCAAAATGGGAGTTATTGGTGACGAGCGGGGGACGGGCGATCGGAGCCTGCCCTCCTGGCTGACCTGTCCTACCAGGACTGATGGCGTGATCTCTTTAAATTCGAGGCGTTTGACAAAAGGCCAGTCTTGTGTCCAGTGCTGTCACCTGGTGGGTTTCCTGCTGAACCTGCCGTAAGGACTAAGCCCAGCAGGGTCTATAATCGATGGCTGGACACATCTGGGGACTCGAGCGGTTGGAAACAGTTTGTTCTGTTGAATCAGTTGAGTGTTACCTTGCAATCGCTCTCGCTCGTGCCTGTTTATAAACCACACTGTGGTCTGAGGTGGGCGAGCACCGGGCCCTCCCGAGCTCTGACTTTCCGGCCCCCACCAGTGAGGTGCTGGGGTGTCTGTAAATCCGGGGATGGGAGGCTGTCCCCCAACCTCCACCAGATAACTGCCTCTCTCTGCGCAGAGAAAGAGAAAGACCCCAATTACTGGCGGACACAAGCCCAGCTGACGCTGAAAAATGCCCTGGAGCTTCAGAAGCTCAATACGAATGTGGCCAAGAATGTGATCCTGTTCCTGGGAGACGGTGAGCCCGGGGCCCAGGCAGGGAAGGGGCTGGTGCCGAAGAGGCTGGGCTCTGGGGGAGGGGGCTGGCAGAGGGCGTCAGGCTGGGCACCTAAGAAGTCTGCTCTGCCCAGCAGCCCCCGAGAGGTCTGGGGAGGGGAGGAGGAGAGGGGCAGACCTGTGACATTTCCGGCTCTGGTGCCCACTGCCTGGGGAGGCTGGGAGCCCGAGAACTGAGCCTCCCCCCCCAACAGGGATGGGCGTCTCCACGGTCACGGCCGCCCGCATCCTCAAGGGTCAGCTCCACCACGAACCTGGAGAGGAGACCCGGCTCGAGATGGACAAGTTCCCCTTCGTGGCCCTCTCCAAGGTGAGCCCCAGCCCTGGGGCCCTGGCCCGAGCCTCCCACCTCTCACTTGCGCTGCTTGGAGGGAAGAGCAGGACGATGGCATCCTCGGTGTCACTGGGGGTCCCCCACTGTGCAGCCACTTCCCAAGTCTGATTTTGAGCCTTTTAACTCATAGATTCTAAAAAAAAAAAAAAAAATCTTTGTACTGAAGTGTGACATAACACGGGAAAAAAGTGCCCACGGAGCAGCTTGAACATCCCTGAGCTGCAGGGTCTGTACACCCAGCTCCCAGGTGGAGTAACTGGGTGTGGCAGCAGCCAGAGGTCCCCGAGGCCCCTGCAGCCCCCCAATCCCAACAGTCGCCACCGTCCCAACAGCGCACTGGCCTGTGTTTTTGGTGTGTCCTATACAGAGTGGCCCTGGGTCACTCCCTCCTGGGCCATCGGGGATCTCATGAGGTCACTGGAGTAAACCGTCCGGTGTTGGGAGCGCTAAAGCAGCTGTGACGGGAGGGGGCAGAATAATCATCCCAGACAGTCCATCAGGCCTCCTCGAGGGGAAGAGTGGGATTGGGGTCTTTTCTGTGCTGGGGGAGCTCCCGGGCTGGTGGAGAAGGGAGATAGGCAGGGAGATCCGGGTCTCTGTTGGAGGTCGGGATGGGGTGGGAGGCACCTGGCAGGAGCGTGGCAGAGAGGTCAGCGCTGGTCTCCCGACCCCTTCCCTTCCCCCGCCTCCCCAGGCCCCCACTCATCAGGGACCCCGTTCCACTCCCTTCTCCGGGACTCTGTTCCCAGGCTCCTTGCTGGATGCTGCAGCCCCAGAGACCCAGGGCGAGGCTTCTGCTGACCCAGCCTGACCCCCATGCCTCTGCCCAACATCTCCCCAGAGCTTGGAGGCTTTGGCTGCTGCCCGTCACTGCCAGGGCCCAGGCAGCAGGCAGCAGGCAGCTCAGTTAGATGACCCTGGGGCTCTGCAGGGGCCTCTGGGTAGCGGGGCCCAGCCAAGCCTGCAAAGGGCCTCTGGCATCCTCCATGCCTGGTCCCCATGGCGTGAGTGGAGGTGGGTGGCAGAAGGAGGGCCAAGGCCGGCCACCCCCAACGCTGCCCGCTGTCTGCAGACGTACAACACCAACGCCCAAGTCCCCGACAGTGCTGGCACTGCCACCGCCTACCTGTGTGGAGTGAAGGCCAACGAGGGCACCGTGGGGGTGAGCGCGGCCACCGAGCGCACCCGCTGCAACACCACTCGGGGGAACGAGGTCACCTCCATCCTGCGCTGGGCCAAGGAGGCTGGTGAGCCTTAGGGCAGGAGCCGGGGGCGGGCAGCTATAGGAAATGGCCGGGCTCCGTGGCTGTCTGGGCCTCAGCCATTCTGACCTGAGAAGGTAGAGAAAAGCTCTCCAGGGCTCCAGCGTCCGCCAGAGGGTCACGAAGCCCCTTCCAGGACAGGGAAGGCCCATGGTCCTGGCTGCTTAGATGTGGCCCCAGCTCGAGTCCCTGGGTCTGTGCATTCGACTGTAAAATTGGACTGAAAACGTAGCCCCTCGTAGATTTGAATGAGGAGGGAAGCTGGGAGCCCAGGCCACCCCTGAGGGGATCCATGGGGTCCACTCCTTCCCCTTCCCCCTGGGAATTGAAGCCCTAGCCCCAGGGACTTTGGAGTCAAGGGACAAAGCCAAAAGACCCAGGTGATGGGACCTTGCTCCACCTGAGGGCCCAGGGCTTCCTGCAGGAGGTTCCTGGGGTTGTGGATGGAGGAGGACCCCACCACCCTCTTTGGGCAGTTGCCCTCTGCCTCATACAGACAGGGAAACCCAGGCCCAGGCAGTCAGAGGCCAGTGTTCAGCGAGCAGATGGAGGGAGAGGGCAGCTGATGTCCCCACCCGCAGGGGGCCAACTTCTCCTCTGAACCTCAGGGAAATCCGCGGGCATTGTGACCACCACACGGGTGAACCACGCCACCCCCAGCGCCGCCTACGCCCACTCAGCCGACAGGGACTGGTACTCGGACAACGAGATGCCCCGGGAGGCCCTGGACCAGGGCTGCAAGGACATCGCCTACCAGCTCATGCACAACATCAAGGACATCGACGTGAGTGGGGATGGGCCCGGGCAGGGCAGGGCAGCCCCGGGCTGGCCCGGGAAAGCCGCCTGGCCCGGCTCCCCACACACCTGGGAGGGCTCCCAGCCCAGTAGGGGATTTGCGGTCGGGGCTGGCAGGCACTGTAGGACTTCTCTGCGGGGCTGCAGGGTGAACCTTCAAGTGGCCGCCACCACAGCCTGAGAACCAGGTCCCCCGGATCATTCGTGAACTAGAACCTGGGGCCGCACTGCCCCCTCACCAGCTCTGGGAGTTGAGGGTGACACAGTGACCCTCTGAGGGGAGGACGTGTCCTTTTGCCCCTTAACTTCTTTGAGTCTCCCTTTTCATCCTCCTCCTGAACCGGACCTACCCCCGGAGCCCGTTGCAGGTTGCAAGACCCGAGTGAGCTTATCCCCAGGGCATTCCAACTGGCCCGGTCCTGCGGGTTCTCGGGAGGCTCTCAAGTGACAGCACATGTCCTTGCTCCAAAGCGTGCACTTGGGTGTGTGGCATGCGCAGGCCGCGCTGCACACCTGCTCTTGAGTGAGGATTTCTGTTTTGTTCCAGTGCCTCTTACCTGCTGCAGGGGACCCGAGGGGCACATCAGGGAGACTTGGATCCCCTGAGCCTGGAATGGGGGGATGCGGGGAGGCTCGGAGGAAGCCCCAGGCCCCCTCACCTGCTTCTCCCTGCTGCCACACTGGCCTGCCCTCTGTCCTCCATGCAGCACCCCCTAATTTCCAGGTGCCACCTGGCCCTCTACAAACATCTTCCCTTTCCTGAGCGGCGGGGGAAGCCCCCTTGCAGGACAATGGTCCTGCAGACCCTCGCGGCCTCCACCGACGGCCCTCCCCTCCGTGAGCCTTGGTCTCCCCACCTGTGCGCTAAGAACAGCGAGCCCCACCTGCCGGCTCCCAGGGCCTCTGGAGGCGGCCAGGAGGCCGAGTGTGAGAACTGTGTTGTAGTAGCACAGGGTGGCTACCAGCTGCTCCCGGGGGAGGGTTGGCAGGAGTAGCCCGCGTGGGGCGCGGGAGCTTAAGGTCAGCCTGAGTAGAGGGAAGATGTTTGGGGTGGGGGGCGAGGGTGGGGGTGTCCACGGGGACCATGGGACATGGGCCAGGGAGTGAGTGAGGAGGGGGCTGTGTGACACCCCCTTCCTGGTCTCGCTCTCCTCTCCCAGCCCCATGGGCCCCTTCCCCACAGCCACTCCGGGAATCCTCAGCCCCCAGGCTATCCATGAAACAAAACTCCTGGTGTCCGCCCTGAAAATAAATATCTTGCTTAAAAGAAAGAAAGAAAGAAAGACACAAACCCAAACCCCAAAGCCAAACAGCAAGCCTGTTATTTGGGAGTTTAATGAGCCCGTGTGAAGTCTCTGCTGGGATTGGAAACCATGAGGCTCCAGCAAGAAGGCTGGGGTCTCCACTTCCCACTCTGAAAATGCCAAGGGTCAATTCCTGTGGGAACGGTGGGAGGGAGGGCAAGGGACCCGTGACCTGGGGTCCCCTTCTCCTTCTACCCTCACAGCCGTCCCGCCCCAGAGCTTCACTCTACTGCAAAGGACCTAGTCCTTCTGGAGATAGCTTTCATTGTCACTTGGTGGGGACACCCTCCTTGGGAAGCTTCCCCGTGGGTGTCGGGGGGCCGTAGAGGACCCCTGTACTTCCTCCTGGGATAGTCGAGTGGGCGTTGTTCCCAATGTATAGATAGGGAAACTGAGGCTCAAACCAGGTTAAAACGACAGGCCCTTGATCAACAAGCCAGCGAGTCTGGATTCAAACCCGAGTACAACTGCAAAACCCAAACCTTGCCCAGGTCCCGTGACCCCTGCTGTCCTGGGGCACCGTCCCCAGGTCTACCGCTGGCTGGGACACTCCCTTTCCACCCCACCAAGCCCGAGGTGGGAAATGGAGTGAAGGTAGAAAAAGGGCCCATGAGGTGCCAGGCCTGGGGCAGTGGCCTGGGCTGGCACCCACGGTGACAGGAGGACACCGGTGTGGTGGTCACTGCGGGCGGCGGCTGTTATGCTCTTGGCCCTTGTCTTAAAAATAGTCAGGACTTCAAACATGGACTCCCAAGGAAAACAAACAGTCCCGCGTCCGTCTGCCCGCTCACGCCAGCCGCGGCGGGTAAAATTAGCCCAGTGGTGACTACACAGCCATGTGGCCGTCCCCACTGCTGGCCCAGGCCGCAGGGGCTGCTCCCAGCTGGGCTGCCCCAGAGACCTCCCTGGCTGGGGCCGCTCCCTGAGCACATGCCGCTTCTCACGGTGGGAGAGGAGGCCCCTGGAGGCCCGTCCTGGGCTCAGCAGACCTGGCAGGGCAGGGATGCTGGAGGCGGAGAAGCCCTGGGTTCAAATCCTGGCCCTCCCACTAGGCTGCGTGGCCTTAAGAAATCACATTTCTGTGCCAGTTTCTTCATGGGGAAAATGACGGGCGCCTTCGGGGCTCAGTGCCTGGCACGCAGGGCTTTTCTTCCGTGGGTGGAGGCTGGCGTGTCAGGCTCGCAATGAAGTCATCGGAAGCTCCAGTCTCACCCAGAAGCCCCAAAGCAGCAATTTCATTTCCCAGGCTGAAAATGTGGAGGCTCAGAGAGGGCTGGACCCGGGACTCGGGGACTTGGGAAAGTCTCCCACCTCCCCAGGGACCCCAGGAATCCCGCTGTCTAGCCCAGGGCCGTGGGGCTTGTGGACATCATGGAACCCCGGCATGCTGATGGCTCCTGTCCCCTTTAGGTGATCATGGGAGGTGGCCGGAAGTACATGTTCCCTAAGAATAAAACCGACGTGGAGTACAGGATGGACGAGAAGGCTGGGGGCACGCGGCTGGACGGCCTGAACCTCGTGGACATCTGGAAGAGCTTCAAGCCAAAAGAGAAGGTAGCCCCGAGCAGGCGGCTGGGGGACCCTGGGCTGGGGACCCATTCGGTGCCTCCGTGTTCTCTGTGAATAGGGATCACCACCTGTCCCTCCACGGGTTCTTAGGGACCAGCAGTCCTGTGACTGGCACATAGTAGGTGATCAACTGGTGTCTTCCTGCAGAGGAGGGCACCGAAGCCCGAGGCGCAAGGATGAATCAGACACAGGGAATGTCGTATGCTCAGATGGCGGGAAGCCTGGGACCTGCAGGCACCTAGAGGGGACAGGCCACCAGGGAAGGGCCCGGAAGTCCCTAGCAAGTGGAAGACAGGGGTGGAAGCAGTAGCCCTGGACAGATGGCAGGAGGGCACAGGAGTGTGTGAACCAGGGACCTTTGACCAGGGGAGGGAATGGGCGGGGCTTGGAGAGTGTCCGAGGCTCTGGCTCTGGAAGAGGCTCTGGCCCTTTAAGTCTGCACGGTGCGCCTGCTTGGGGCAGCTGGGGTCTGGAAATGACTGCGGTCAGGCTGAAGACAGTGGGGAGCAGCCTGGCAGCCGCTTTGATGTCACTCTGGGGTTGGGTTTCTCAGGGTTCCAGGACTGGCCCCTGGGGAGGCATGGGATGAAGCTAGGCCAAGAACTAGGTGGGGACAGGGCCCAGCCATGGCCCCCGGGGCCTGGGGCGGCGGGGAACTGAGTGGTTTCTGGCCCTTTTCTGCCTCCTGCATCGGCTCAGGCTGGCCAGAGTCACCACCCCTCCCAGCCTCAGTTTCCCCACCTGGAACACGGGGCTGAGCTTCGCCCTTCTTGCCCTGGCACTGCCTCTCGATCCCCGAGATGCGGAGGGGCCATACTATGGCCCCGAGCCCTGCCAGAGTGTCACGGTCTGGTCCCGTATGGGTGGCATTACAGAAAACCAGACCTGAAGAGTGCGTGTCCCACCAACGTCACCGGGGCCACCTAGGAGCTGCAGGTCCTGGGTGTCTCGGGTCCTTGTCTGTGAAACGGGAGTATCCTCCGGGGACTGAAGTGAGGACCTCACATAGCAGGGACTCGGAGCCCGACTTTAGTCTCCTTGCCTCCCCCCACAGCAGCCTCTGAGGTTTTGAAGACCACTGACCCCAATTCCACTGCCCAGAGAAGGCAAGGGGTGTCCTGAGGACACACAGCTGATTCTTGGCAGTCCTGGGTCCCCAGGTCCAGGCCTGAATGGTGCCGTCCCCAGACTGAGCTGGGCCTGCCTCTGTGTCTACATGCCCCAGGGAGGCTGCACCTCCTTTGCCTCCCCTCCTGGATGGCTGCCTTACACCACCCCAGACATAGCTCCTGCCCCTCAGTGGGCACCCATGGCCCTGGGGACCTGGGCCTGCCTCCTCTTTGCCCCGTGACCCCCCTCACAACTTGTGCTTGGCCTCCAGGGCTCCGGTAGGACCTCACCTCTACCAGGAAGCCCTCCCTGACCTGGCCCTGGGCTCACGGCCCTCCTGGTGCCCCAGAGCCCTCCCCCTCTGCGTTCTCCATTAGAATTGCCTTTTTACTTGCCATTTCCGGAGGTAGGGAGGGTGGGTGCTCAGGGAGGGATGTTAAATGATGGAAAGAAACAAGGAAATGCCCCAGACTGAGGCCAGCTGGGGACGCACGCGCTGACCCTGTCCCTGCCTCCTAGCACTCCTACTTTGTCTGGAACCGCACGGAGCTCCTGAGCCTCAACCCCGACGGCGTGGACTACCTCTTGGGTAAGTGGGGCCTGCAGCTGGGGCTGCGTGAGCCCGGGCCCCGGGAGAAGCCCTGGCCTGCTCCCTCTTCGGGCCTTTGTCATCAGTTTCTAGGACCTGGGAGGGGTCAGGAAAGGTGTCTGTTCGTGGAAGGAGGCCTGAAGCCTGCTGGCTGTGCAAAGGGATCCGCCCCATCGAGCTCAAGGAGAAATTGAAGCTCAGAGAGGGCGGTGGCCGGCAGCATGCCACACAGCTGAGAGCAGTATGACCCAGACAGCCAAACCCTGGCTGGGAGCCAAGGCTTAAACTGCCCCTGGATTGGGGGTGGGCAGAGGGAGGGGACAGGTAGCTGGAGTCAGCCCGGGGACATGCCAGGGAGGAAGCCAGTTAAGTTGTCTCTGCCCGTCCTGATGGTTGACCCCGCTCCGCAGGGAATGGAGAGTAGGCAAGGGGCCCGGGGCAGCCCTAAGTGGCCAGTGTGCGAGGGGACCACAGTAGGGCATGGACTCCAGGGGACAGGGATTATTGGGTGCCATCTTGGAAGCCAACTCCCACCTGCTTCCAAAGCACCCAGGACAGCGCGTGGCCCGAGTGGGCGGTCCTTGTTGGAGCTGTCGGGCTGTGCGCACCCGCGTGGCAGCCAAGGTGTTCTGGAAGGACATTCAGAACTGGAAACGCCCAGATGGGCTACACGGGCAAGGAGTGGTCACTCTCCTATGTCACAAGAGACAAAATTGAGCTCAGGGAACAAAAGGGACGATGACGTCAAACTTCCTGCTGTGCCACGGTGGCACGGCCCCGGTGCCCCTCCAAGCTCCCAGGGAAATACGCCTGTGTTCACGTGGCCTGGCCAGGCCACGGCCAGAGCCCTTGCCTTAAGGCCACAGCACTGTGTCCTGGGTCCTCCGTGCTGGGGCAGGATGAGGGGGAGATCGCAGATCTGGCACTTCCCAGCTGCCCAGCAAGAAGCTGGACGCCTCTGAGCGTCCGTCTCCTCCTGGGTAGGATGGGCCCGGAGATCCCGGATCCTAGCGGAGGTTGAGAGGATGGTAGGAACCGTGGGCGCAATTCTGGACCCACAGGAGCCACCCAGATAAGGCTCCTCCCCCAGCACCCCAGGCTGGGTGTGGGAACCTGTGTCCTGAGCCACCCCGGGCTCCTCGTGGTCCTCCCCAGGGCGTGCGACATCCACCTCGTCCTTGTGTCCGCAGGTCTCTTCGAGCCTGGGGACATGCAGTACGAGCTGAACAGGAACAATGTGACTGACCCGTCACTCTCTGAGATGGTGGGCGTGGCCATCAAGATCCTGAAGAAGAACCCCAAAGGCTTCTTCCTGCTGGTGGAAGGTGGGTACCCCAGCCTGCTGAGAGGTCACTTCCAGAATCAGCCCTGGAGCCCGGGGATGGGGTGGGCCAGCTCTCAAAGGGAACTTCCCCGTTTGGGGATGAAGAGAGGAATTCCCCTTGGGCTGAGGAGCTGCAGACTGGGGGTGAGGACGCTGGAAACCCCCACTCAAGTTCCCCCTGCAGACGACTCGGAGAGGCCTCCCCAGCGCAGAGGCTGCCATTCCACACGGGACTCCTTGCTCGGCCTCCGCGAGAGGCTGTGGAGTCAGATTGGGGCTCTCGTCCTGGTGCTGCCACCCACGGGCTGCGTGGCCTCCAGGGGTGACATGCCTCCGCAGGACTCAGAAATGGGAACTACTTGGAACAGGACCCAGCGCAGAATAAGTCCTCGGTATTCCTGTTATTCTCATGGTTAGGATTACGCACTAGCCCAGGCAGCCGCAGTGGGAAGTGAGGGGAATGATAAAAGATTCCGGATCTTTCCGGAGCACGGGCTCCTCCACCTTCCGGGGGCCAGGGGCCGCCCCCCCTCCGGCTCGGCTGCTCTCTTGCCAAACCCCGGGGTTCCCACAAGCCCAGCGGTCTCGGCCTGGCCCCGAGCAGCCTCTGGTGCTGAGGAGCTGGCCAGGAACCAGTGGTGGCGGACATGCTCCCCCGGGGATTGTCCTCTTTGTGGGCAGGGCCAGGCCAGCCCGCCGCCGGGCCAGCTGCTCCCAAAGCCACAATAAAGGTAAGGCCCGCCCTGCAGCCCGCCGGCCAGAGCAGCGAGGCCGCGGCTGGTGGAGGGAGGGCAGCCTGGCGCCCAGGCGCCCGGGCGCAGGACCCTCAGCTGGGCGTGTCCACCCAGGCAGCATCTGCTGGTGGACAGGATGGGGAGGTGTCCCCCCAAAGCCACTCAGCCCTCAGCTGGGAGGCCAAGCTCAGAGCCAGGGCTGTGCACGCACCGAGGGAGGTGGCATGAGCTGAGGCCCCCATGGGCTGGCATGGAGGGCCTCTCTCGGTGTGAGGACAGTGACCTGGGCCTTCTGGGTAGCGGGATTGTTTCAAGGTGGAGTTGGAGAACCAGGGCCGTGGGAGTCCGCCTCAGCCCCGCAGGCCCCACCTCGGGCACCCGCTCCCCCTCTGTAGGCCTCCTGTGTAAACGGGGCCCGTGCGCCCATCTCAGCCCAGGCCCGCCGTGGAGGGCACCTGACGTGGCTGTGCCCGCCTGCAGGACTCAGGGCTGCTCCCCTCCCCGGCCTCCCTGAAGTCCTCAGCAACTCTGAAGAGACAGTGCTAGGACAGACGGGTGGTGGACAGACGGCAGGGATTCAGTCTGGCGGATCTGCCTTTGGACCGGGCTCTGCAGCCTCCGTCCCTGGGCCTCGGGTCCTGCGGCCCCTGTGTGGCCTCTGGAAAGACCAAACGGCTCACGGGCCGCCTGAGACGTGCCCGGCCCACGGTGCTTCTCAGTGACCAAGGCCACTGTGACCTGGACAGGGTCGTGGGGCTTGAGGGGGCCCATCTGCTCCCCTTGCCCCTCTCAAGGCCTCTGCCTTGGTGTCCCAAGGAGGCAGGATTGACCACGGACACCACGAGGGCAAAGCCAAGCAGGCGCTGCACGAGGCGGTGGAGATGGACCGGGCGATTGGGCGGGCGGGAGCCATGACCTCTCTGGAAGACACGCTGACCGTGGTCACTGCTGACCATTCCCACGTCTTCACCTTTGGTGGCTACACCCCCCGAGGCAACTCCATCTTTGGTAAGGGGCCCTCCACGGGGGCGCAGGAAGCAGCCCGAGGCGAGGACCAGAGGTAGCCGGGCAGGGAGGATGGGCGCGGGACGAGGCTGGAGCGGGTCCAGTGTGGATGGTGAAGTGGGGTCTGCGTGGCTGGGGATTGAGTGGGAGAGAGGAAGGACAGACGGACAGGAAGAGGAGGGGATGGATGGATGGACGGTGGGTGGACTCTTGTCTCTGTGCAGGTCTGGCCCCCATGGTGAGCGACACGGACAAGAAGCCCTTCACCGCCATCCTGTATGGGAACGGGCCTGGCTACAAGGTGGTGGACGGCGAGCGGGAGAACGTATCCATGGTGGACTATGGTGAGACCCCAAGGCCAAGGCAGGACAGGCACGGGGCAGCCCTCGGGACAGGATGGGAAGAACAGTGTAGCTTGTTGCCAAGGTCAGTGGTCCTGGAATAGCCCAGATTTGAGTGAGAACAACCTCCATTTGAATCCCCTCTTACAATTTAGTAGCTCTGTGACTTTGGGCATGGACCGTCCCCTTTCTCAGATTCAGTTTCCTCCCTAAAAAGGTTGTGCCTTCCAAGGACTTTAACCTGGAGGAGTCAATAGGTCTGATGAGCTTAGCATGGTGCCTGGCGTATGAAGGTACTTGGTGTGTTACAGTCGTTTTACTGGCTGTGTAATATTCCAGCCCATAAGGCTTCGCAGTTAGCTCATCCAGCTCCATACCGTTGAGTATTCATTTGCTCTTGACACCCCAATAGTCCCTGGGGGGCTGATGATGCAGCCATTGGTGACTTCTCTTTAGTTGACTCTTCCCTGCTAATCCAAATAGCCCAGAAAAAGTTAGTTCTCTCATGCATGCCAGGCAAGTTCTCTGCCACTGAGCTACACCTCTTCCTTTAGCGGGGCACTCAGGCCGGCTGGATGGGGAGGGAGAGGTCGCTTGCCCAGCGCCAGGGCCCAGTGGGCCCTCAGCCACGTTTCTCCTGGCCCACAGCTCACAACAACTACCAGGCCCAGTCAGCTGTGCCCCTGCGCCACGAGACCCACGGCGGGGAGGACGTGGCCGTCTTTGCCAAGGGCCCCATGGCCCACCTGCTGCACGGTGTCCACGAGCAGAACTACATCCCCCACGTGATGGCGTACGCGGCCTGCATCGGGGCCAACCTGGACCACTGTGCCCGGGCCGCCGCGGCGGGCAGCCCCACTCCAGGGCCCCTGCTGCTCCTGCTGGCGCTGCTCCCCCTGGGCACCCTGTTCTGAGGGCTCAGGGCCCGGCACCCAAAGCCCACGGCAGATGGCCAGCTTCCCCCTCCCGAAGCCGCCGACTGCCCGGCAGCCCACACTTCCCGGGCGGGGAGGCCAAGGTCCCCGCAGCCTCTGCAGCTGCCAGAACAGGGGACCCAGGAACCAAAGCCTGCTGCCCACCTCACTCCCCTCTGGAGTCCTCCACGGGGCCAGCCCGACTCCTGGCCTCTGCTCTCGAAGCCCTCCCGCTGCCCTTGGCCCTCGGGGTCGGTTTCTTGGGCAGGCAGAGCACAGACTGCAGGGACTCTCAAAGCGTCTTATTTTTCTAACTGAGATCCTTCTCCAGACCCACGAGGCTGCACCTCCACGGAACACGCCAGCCCCAGCCCTCTCCTTCCCTTCCTCCTCCTCTGGAAGCCCCTGGGCCCCGCGCTCTTGGTCCCCGAGCCCAGCCATGCCTCCGTGGGGGGGACCAGGCCTCTCTGCTCAGGGTGGGGGTCACTCTCTCCCTCCGAGGTGGCCGGACTCCCAGGAAGCCACCTCCTGAGCCTGGCTGTCCTCGCAGGGTGGCCGTGCTGGGAAGAGCAGCCTGGCGGGGCCGCCTTCCCCAGCTCTGAACACACACCAGCTCCTCGCTGAAGCCTCTCTCCTGTTTGGAAGGAAAAAAAAAAAAAAAAAAATCTCCTTTCGGTGTTGGTTAAAAGGGAACACAAAACATTTAAATAAAACTTTCCAAATATTTCTGAGGACAGAGCTGCGTCTTTGTGGTCAGTGAGAAAGAGGCTGAAATAAGCTCACTTCTCTGGGAAGAGCTGGACTCGGGAGCAGGAGGGTTGGGCAGGGACGTGGGCTTCCTGCCGGCCTGGGCCACTCTGGACAAAGGCTTTGTGTGTCTGGGTCTCAGTTTTGCTACCTGTGAAGTGGGAGAGGGTCCTTGCAGAGGAGGGCCTGCCCGAGACCCACTGCCAGGGGTCTCTCGTGGCCAGGTGGCACCCCTGCTGCGGGGACCCAGGGACTGCAAAGCCCTGGCCCGTGGCAACGCGTCCATCCCCAGCCTCGCACAGACGCCGAGTGCCCGCCGGGCTCTGACCGAGAGCTGAGGGCTGAGCCCTCGAGGGGCTTCCTCCGACCTTGGCCTTGGCCATCACGCCTTCCCCACCCCGATGCTGGACTCAGGGTCACTTACAACATGAAAAGGCTGCTTCTGAGGCTCCAATGGATTCCTCCACATTTATAAGTAAGGACACCAGGAACGCGGGAGGCGATGTGATTGTCAGGGTCCCCCACGTGGTGGAGCAGGGATTTGGACCCAGATGGGCCAGATTCCAAAGCTCCTGGACTTAATGACATCCCTTCTCTGTTGATGATACGCTTCCACACTCCTGCCCGCCAGGTCCCAGCCAATACAAATGACTCAGAGCCCACGCTGGGTAACTAGGAACCAAGAA